AATTTAGAAGTAGAAAAAACATTTTATTCTTTATCATTTGGGTCGGGGATGGGTGTAAAAATGCTGCTGCTGTTATTACTTGGACTTATTTTCTTCCTTTTGGCCTAGATTACTAATACTAAACTAACAAAAGAGAAACAATTGAAATCTGATTTAAAACTATTAAAATCAGCTAATAACGAAATCATACTGGAAAGACTTGAAGAATCCTTGCTGTTATTATTATTGTGATGATGGTGATGGCGAAGTGATGATCATGATGTCCTTAGCAAGGATAAGCAAGGATTTTAATCATGAGCCGCCCAGAGTCACCCTCTGGGGGAGATGGGCGGCATATAAATTTAATAAATAAATAAAATAAAAATAAGGTAGATGCATACATGGTCTTAAAGAAATTGAGCTACAGATAATCGATAAGGGTGAAGGCAGAAGACTATGGTTTGTATTAAAGCTTGGGGTGAGGGGCAGCCTTGCCACTGGGGCAAATGCGCAATAGGGCTGGAGAAAGTCCAAAGTATCTGAACAGCTGCCTTTTCTGGTCTAGCAAATCAGTCTCTTTCTGAATTTCACCTCACGCCCAGTTCCCACACTCCCATGTCTCTGGTTTTTTTTCTACATTTATTGTCATATCCTGTTTCCCCTCGCTAACACCTTTTGAATGCATTTTTCACCTAACGTGCACATGTTATGGAATGTTAACAGATGTGCACGTTAGGTGAAAAATATTAATTTTTGCACGCAACTCTTGCAAACATTCACATTTTGAGAAGGCAACTGTTTTGCCAAGAACTCCCATTCCTGGGCCCAGCAATATTTGGATCTGCCTAAGTTCATAACATCCATGTTATTCCCTGCCCCTATTTGCACCTCCAGACCTCTATCTTGGAATTGGTGTGGCTGGTGCCATGACCTTTCCACAGACAATATGGCTTGAAAGTTGCTAAGATGTGCATTCTTACCTTTATAGGATAAATCTTACTATCCCTCAGGGAAGTCTGTGTGCTGTGGTGGGTCAAGTGGGGGCCGGAAAATCCTCCCTGCTCTCAGCATTACTCGGTGAACTGCAAAGAATTGAAGGTTCTGTAGTAATGAAGGTAAAGCCTTTTAAAACATAATTTATTCAAGATTTGGGTTTGGGCCAGCCTTCCTCATCCCAAGCACAGTCTGGTTATGTAGACTTCAACTCCCAGAACTCTCAGCAATGGCTGCGCTAGCTGGGGAACTCTGGGAATTGAAAACCATATACTGGAAGGTCACTCAGATTGGAGAAGTCTGGTTTAGAATTTAGTTTAGTCTTTCGTGTTGTGATTCTAGTGTTTCACGTCATGGTTTTAGTAGTTTGAGTGATTTCAGGGGTTGCTTTCGATGGAGGGATGCACCACTTTCATAACTGGGCTTTTGTTGGGTTTCCTTGAGAAAGACGTTACCTCTGTGCTTGAGGTTGGTTGGCTTGGTAAAAGGGCACCATCTTGGGACCTCTTTGAGGAAACAAAAACTTTGAACTCTTTCATCGCCATCTCTCTCTCCTTACCAAATGCCCCCTTTCAGGGTCTGGTGACAGTTTGATGAGTTTCACTTGTTTCCATTTCATAGGGCACAATAGCCTTTGTTCCTCAGACGTCCTGGATACAAAATGCTTCCGTGGAAGACAATGTCCTATTTGGGAAAAAAATGGAGAGGACATGGTACAACCAGGTGGTCAAAGCCTGCGCCCTGCAGCCAGACATAGACAGTTTTCCAGCTGGAAGCCAGACAGAAATTGGAGAGAAGGTTCTTGGATCATTACTGTATTATTTATCTAGCCAAAAAGGAATATATACACTTGGTTGTGTAGATGGTGGTAGTGTTGTTGGTCTTTCTCCTTCTCCTTTTCTTCTCCTTTTCTTCTCCTTTTCTTCTCCTTTTTTTCTCCTTTTCTTCTCCT